CTGTACTATCCCCGTACTGCCCCGGTACTGCCCCCGGTACTGCCGCTGTACTATCCCCGTACTGCCCCGGTACTGCCCCGGTACTGTCCCGGTACTATCCCCGGTACTGCCCCAGTACTATCCCCAGTACTGCCCTCGATACTGCCCTTGGTGCTGCCCGTAGTGTCCCCGGTACTGCCCTGCCGCTGCTGCCGGTGCAGCCCTGCCTGGGTCCTGCTGCACCTGCCCTCCTGTGCTGCCTGCCCTGCCCTSYCCTGCCCTGYCCTGCCCGGGCCCACCGCTCGGCTCTCTTGGCTGCTGCCTGTCCTGCCCCGCTCCTGGCCCTGCACACACGTGTGTGCGCACGCACAAACACACGTWACAAACGCACACCTCGTCCCACACACCAGGGCTTGAGGGCAGACATGTCAGGGCTAGGCTGAAGTTCTGCCCGGGTCACAGGAGCTGTGGGGTGGGCATAGGCCCCATCGTTATCCAGTGACAGGAAGGAATGAGACATCCAGGTACAATCAGTACTGGGAATATGGCCGGCTCAGCCACACCAGCACAGCCAGCTTCTGCCTGTCCTGTGAGTGGGGAAACTGAGGTACAGGGCAGCCTGATCCTCTGCACAGCTGCCAGCTTCCACATGGGCACTGGGGCCAGAGATGCCCTGGTGTGGGGCATCACCTCCTGGTGAAGAACACACATGTGGCACCCACAGGAGATGGTGGGGAGACAGGAATGGGGCTCTCGGGGTGGTTCCTGCAGACCCACAGGGACTAGCACCTGCAGTTGCTCTGAAAAGCTACATCCAGGCCCCATGTACACCTGGTAACACAGACACATGCCAGTGACACAGGGGACCTGTGGCAGCCAGGCATCCCCACATGATGGGTCTCCATGGGAGAAGAGGCAGCTGGATGAAGGATGGGTGAAGGGCAGAGCTGTAACAGAGCTGAGACACCCCCCGGCTGACCTGGACCCATGCATGTGATGGTTGGGTAAAGCTCAATCCTGAAGGGAGAGCCACCAAGTCAGCTGAGGATAACTTTCAGYGAAACAAAAATAACAATCACTTTGCGGCTTTGATGAGAAGGCTTTAAACGTGCCACGGCCATGAGGGAGGGTTACACAGGCTGCCTGAGGATCTGGCTCTCGGCTCTCCACTAAGAGGGTGTTTTGAGTAAACAAACACAGACACATTGCCATTTGAAATGTCAGAAGCCATCTGATCAGACACTCSAGCATCTTCCTTGGCATTTATGGCTAATCTGCTAATTAGTCAAGAAAAGCAGTCTCCTCCTTAGACGTTTCGGAGCAGCAGCTGGGAACAGCRCAAAGATAAAACAGCTTAACTCTGCCCCATCGCTGAGATTCACATGTGCTGGCACAGCAGACCGGTCCAGGCATTTCCCTGACTACCTCCAGGTAGTGGTGCAGGAAGCAGTGAGACCTCCAGAAGGGGAGGAGGAGGCGTGTAAGCCTGGCAGAAACCCAGCTCACGCTGRGCGCTCATTTGGATGCGAGGCAGGTGTCTGTGCGCTGTGCAGGCAGGTGAAGTCTTGTCTGAAGGCATTTGGGTTGCACAGGTCACACATTGTACCTCTCCTGCTCCTCCTCACTCAGGTAAAATCTCTCCAAATGCTTTGCATTATTACCCTTTGTCAGCACGGAGCGTTGGGTCCAGCTGGAACTTGCCACACAAGGAGGGACAGGGGAAGTGTAGGACAGGGAGCSCTCAGGACACCCTATGAGCAGGTGYTGTTCAGGCAAGAGCTCAGCCTGTCACAGGGAACAGCCCTTCTGMCCTGCCTGGAATTAGTTACCAGAGCTGCTCAGGGAAGGGAAAYTACTGCACAAGGAGACGATCYGTCCTTTGCCTCACTCAGCAGAGTTCAGGACAAATCTTTCTAAGGCTGCAGTTGCAGCCAGTTTAAAAGAGGGGAAAAAAAGCCAGCAAAAAACTTCACAGACAAAACCCACAACCTTGATCTATTTCAAATATTAAAGGAGGTTAATATTGAAATTAACCTCCCCTCGGATCTGGGTCTATTTAGAGTCACGAGAGGCACAAATGCAGAGCTGCAGGAGAGCTGGCAGAGCAGAGCCTCAGCCAGCAGCCGCACTACCAATGCTTACAGGGTGACCTCCAGTGGGAYGAGGAAGACATGACAGATTTCCAAGTTACATGAAGTTACACCTTTATTTAAAATCCATCTTTGTGCATTATCAAGGAGGAGAAGGGAATAAACAGGATCCTTTGGAGCCTCCCATTACCACYAGCCCAGGACATATGCAGAGCCACAGGATTTCAGGCTGGTTACAATATGAATCAACTGCTGCCTGTTTGTAGAGAACTGCGACTGCCAGCTCCACTGAGCCAAAGAGAGCTACGTGCACACAATCCCAGATGGAGCTATATCCTGGCAGTCCTAYATTCAACTCCTGACAGGCTCAGCAGAGGGACTCTTCAGGCACAGAAGTGGCTGGCCCAGCCCTGTGCCCTGCTGTCCATATGCTCATGAGCCCTGGTGATGCCAGCAGCTACCAGGGGATTCCACATCAGATCCCATTTCCCCTTTGTACSGGTCAGAGCAACCTGCACCTGGCACACAGGTAGGTGTCTGTCCCACTGCCCAGGCTGATGCAGCCCCAGGAACCCAAAACCCRGCTGGGGGAGCAGCCCTTTGCCAGGGCTCGCTGACAGAACACCAACAGTTCTTGCAATTCCCGTGTACCATGACCCCCTAAGGARCACAGCCTGGCAGTCTTTGGCAAGGGAACTTGTCAGAACACRTTTTCAGACAGCCACAATCACACCCAATTATAACAGTCCGCTCCTGCTGCCCTCCCCTCACACCTCTGTGAGCCCTGTGTTCAGCAGCAGCTGTGCAGCCACAGCCCCGGGCTGGTTTCCACAGCTCCCCCGAAGCGCACACGGTGCCGCTGCCTCAGGGTCCCCCCGGCACGCCCCCAGTGGAGCGAGGCTGCTTCCCTGTGCTGCCAGCTCCCCGGCCTCCACCCTGCTTCCTCTTCATCTGGCTCTGCGATTCTGCTTTTAGTGTCTCAGTCCAGAAGGCATCAAAAGATCCTGGGGCCTGGTACCCTGGCTCCTGAGGATCCAGGGCATCTTTGCTGAGTAGGACACATATRGAAGGAATGTTCCTCTTCACTGTCAAGGCATCGAGGCCCGCCTCAGGCACAATGGGTTCCCAGATCTCTTCGATCTGTCTGAAGAGCACTTTGGTGATTTGGTGCAGCTCCTTGAGCCTTCTTTTCATGATTTCCACACAGGTGATGGTCTTGCTGACAGCCTTGCCTGAGCCAGTGAAAAGAATCTGCCTCACTGAGTCCTGCTCCATCTTGCTCATGGCATAGCCCATCAGATTCCTGATTTTGCTCCCATCCTTCACCTTCATTTCAATAATATCAGCAGGCAGATCAGTGAACGGAAGAGGACAAGGTTTCTCCACTATTTTGGTCTTCTTATAGTTCTCCATTCTGCAGTGCTGAAAAGGAAAATGGACCCATGAACACCCAGACCACTGTAATTGCTGCACAAAGAAATTCTAACCACAGCCAGCTGCAACCTTTCCTCTGAAGGGCACTCTGAGCTATCAGAGTTGGCAATCCTGGAAAGGCATAACCAAAAGATTAGGCCAGTCCTTGTAAGGATGTACCTACAGTACGATCCTTGCCACAGCRCACCTTGAGCCCTGACAGGCAGCCYGTGAAAAAAATGGGGTAGGTGTTGTGGACCTAAGGAGGGTGACATGAAAAACACTGCTGTATCTCRGGAGAAGACAGAACAAACCAGTGAGCTAGGGTTACTGAGAATAGAACTCGAGGGATGCTGGCCACAGCTGCAGCAGAGCGTGAAGATAAACTCAGGCACGGATTACATGCAGCACCTCGTGAAACAAGCTCAGGRGGCCTGGCCAGCTCAACTGAGGGTAAAACAGTTTGTGCCGCAAGAGAGATGGCAAGACAGGGGCTGCAGAACCAACAAAAGGCTTCCTCGAGGAAAAGACAGAAAGGTCAAGTCTCACMGCTGCCCTCTCTGCCAAGGCAGGTGCCACCCTGGCCTAAGTCTGCCTGAACTGTGCAGGGCACTCCACCTCCCCACCACACAGCTCAAGGTGTTGAGGGACGCAGTACTTTGGTACCTACAAGCTCCTGAGTTCCGCTGCACCAAGACCCAGCACCCCGCACCCCATCCTCGGCAGGAACAGGGCAGCGCGGAGCCCCCGCTCCGAAGCCTGGGAGTACACGAGGCCCTCACCCCCACATGGCCACCGCCGCAGTCGGTGCCTGACGACCCGGGAGGCCGGGCCGGAGCACGGGGGTCCGGACGGAGCCGGGTGACGGCGGTGGGATGCGGGGATGGCCCGGTGGGACTCAGCGATGCCCGGCGGGGTGTGGGACGGGCCGAACCCTCGCTCACCTGCGGCCGCCTCAGCGCGCCCTTCCACACAAGATGGCGGCCGGCGCAGGCTGCGCGCACGCGCGAGGTGTGGGCGGGGCTGCGCCCGGGACCACGCCCCATTGGGGCGGAACTGAATGGGCGGGGCGAGCCCCGGGCTCCGCCCACCCGGGGCCGGGCACTCGCAGCTCCCGCGGCACATCCCGCGCTCCCGGCGCATCCCGCGCTCCCGGCATATCCCCCGCTCCCGGCGCATCCCGCGCTCCCGGCGCATCCCGCACTCCCGGCACATCCCGCGCTCCCGGCACATCCCGCGCTCCCGGCACATCCCGCGCTCCCGGCACTTCCAGCTCCCCCGGCACATCCCGCGCTCCCGGCGCATCCCGCGCTCCCGGCGCATCCCGCGCCTCCGGCGCATTCCGCGCCTTCGGCACATCCCGCGCTCCCGGCACATCCCGCGCCTCCGGCACATCCCGCGCTCCCGGCGCATCCCGCGCTCCCGGCGCATCCCGCGCTTCCGGCGCATCCCGCGCTCCCGGCACATCCCGCGCTCCCGGGACCGGGCACAGTCACTGCGTGTCTCTGTTCCCCAAAGGGCGTGCGTCACCTCCCAGCCTCACCTGAGCTCCCCAGGCACCTGCACGGTCAGTCCTGCAGCCCCCGCTGTGGTTTGACAACCTGAGAGGTTGCTGATCGGGGATAGTACAAGCTCTTCTGGACGTCCTGTGGGGATTCTGCCCCATTCCTGCAGGAGGACTCCCAAGCCACACTAACCTGGTCAGTCTCTCACCAAGCTGAAGGGTTCGAGACCCTTCSAAAAGCATGGCCTTGGAAACTCCAGGCTAGGGCCAGACCAGGCAGCACACAGCTTGTGCTCCTCTCTGAAAAGGGAAAGAGCTAGCACAAGCTCTTGCAGAGGCAGCATAAAGGCAAAAGCCACTGCCTCCTCTCAGTACAGGGTTGAGAGAACGGCAAGGCAGAAAAGCTCCATGAGATCAGATTCCCATGGGCACAGGCAACTTATGGGAACAGGAAGCGTGTGGGGCACAGTCTAGGGAAGACCATGGGACTGGAAGGAATTTAMCTGCCCTTGGCCCAAGGCTAAAGGAACCACTGGTCATCTCCTGGAGCTGYCAGRAGATYACTGCCCAGAGAAAAATCACTGCCCCTGTGCCAGGAGCAGTCCTTACAACCAGGAAGAGACAGACAACCCAGTCAGTGTTCCAGGACTTTACTTGGGCCCACAGAGATAGCAGAAAGAGGTTTTTAAATATGTTAGAACCAAGACGCRTTTCAGGGAAGTGCAAGATTTGCAAACAATGGCAGATTAAGGAGCAGTGTGGCTTTGACTGGGGGCTGGCAGAGCTCTGTGCAGAGCCGGATGCCCCGGGATCCCACCATGTCACTCCAGCATGCTCGTGCCAAGCAGGAAGGAGCCAGGACCAGCGGGACACAAGGGGCMAGCTGTGCCACAGGGGCCCCGGGCTGTCTGCACTCCTGGCTCTGCCATCATTCTGCCACAGGTTTCACTTGCTTGGCTGCTTCCAGTCGTGTGAGGATTTCATTCCACTGCACAAACTGCTTGGAGAGAAGCAGGGTCTGGACATGACACTTAAGGAAAGTAATGCAGAAACTGCAAGGAAAAACCAAGGTCAGAACATCCTGACAGCACCATTACAATCCTGATTCCTCAGGAGAGGCCCAGGGCACCAGGGCACCAGGGCACTATGAATCCAATCCATCCAGTGGCTGAGCTGCTGCACAACACCAAACACTCACAGGAGTCCAGGAGGCAATTCTAAACATGACAATGCAAGGGCTTTCCACATAGATTCCCTACCCACTGTGAGATTGCTTCGGCACTGGGATCCTACGCAGCCAGGACAGGGACGCAGGTGTCACATCAGAAAGGCTGTTAAATCCAGGGCTGGAGATCCCAGAGATCTGGCAAGGGAAGCAGCCCAGGGGGAAGGGATCAGTTCAGCTGTTCAGGCCTGAGGCTCAAAGGATACCATTTTGTTGTAGTCCTCAAGGAGTGTCTTGACATTGTCAGTGAGATCGTGACGCTTCTCCTGTGAAAAGGGGAGCCGCAGTACATGAGCAATAGGTAAGATGAAGGACATGGACCCTTCCCAGTCCCTGACACCTTGGCAGGAAACTCATCCAAGGCCAGCACTGACATTAGAGCTCAGGCCCTGGCTGTGGCTGCTCACTGCAGCTGAGAGGTTTCCACTATCAAGAGGTTGCAAACACTGGTGCTGTGAAGCACCAAAACCCCTAGAAGCACTGCTGCCTGCTTCTCCTCAGYATCCAGGCTTTGCTTGCCCCAGACCAGAAACCCACAGCAAAATGTTGAAAGGAACCATTACTCACTGCCAGCTCCAGGAATGCTCAAACAGGGAAGGAAAGGRTGAAGTGACAGGCTGATTGTGTCAACAACGTTCTAGAGACTGGGACAGTGGAAGACKGCAAGGCTTCACCTCAGAATCTCAGTGCAAGGGGGAATGCCAGATGGTTAAACCSACTATCACTTACTATGTGTCACTGAAAGCTCTGTTTTGAGCAGTTATGGCAGGCAATTTTCCAGCTTGGACTCTATAAAAATCCTGGCTTTTTTACCCCTCTTGGAGTACTAAAACTTTAAGACTGCAGTGTGCACATTCTGATTGCCAAAAACTACCACAAATTAGCAATTCAAGCAATTGCAAATACAGGGATATCAGTACAGTCACTAGCAAAACGTTCCCATGCCCTTCTAGTCAAGACTGATAGCAATATTCACAGTACCTGCTGCTGTATGTGGATCTGTGAGAGCCGCTGCAGTTTGGCTGCATGCTCTGGAACCGCTGCAAGCACAGAGGAGAAATCAGTTTGGATTGTTTTACAGCACATGGGAATAGCTCCTAAAATAAAGACCAGTCCTCCTCCATGAGCATAGCATGGCAAAACTCCACTCACTGGGTGCAAGTGCCCCTTACTACAGATAAATATTATATAGAATTTAAAAAATGACCCTGCACGTGCTATAAGTTCAGGGATGCCCACAGCAAAGGCTACTCAAGAACTACATCAGAGTAAACCACCTGTATAGCAGCTGGAAACTCCTGTGGATGCCAGGAACAGAGATGTTGTGGATGTGAAAGAGCTCACAGGAAGGAATGATCTGTCAGTCTCCACCCTCTGCCYCACTGCTGTCTCTAGCCTGCTTCACAAGCTCCTCCATCTCCTCCCTGACCTTGCAAGTGAGGTTAGTGCAGCATGAGGGTGGAGCAGACCAAGTTTGTACCCAGTTTACTCTCACACCTCTATACTGTCCTTTTCTCTAGTCTCAGGCTCAAAAGAAAGAAAACAGGACAGGCTGCAGCTCCAACTTGCAGAAGAACATGCATACCTTGGATACTGGTACTGTCCAGGATGGGCTGGAGGTTCTTCACCTGCTGCAGAAGGGCTGCACGGGCAGGAATTGCCTGCTCCTCTGGKTGGGGCATGACAAGAGGGGAACGTTGGGGAACAAGAAGCAACATCAGTAAACACAAAACACTCCTTTGGCTTTTCACAGGTAGTGGTAACTTATGTAGCTGATCTGTCTATGCAGAAAGGGGCTTATTCATTATTTTATTTACACTTTTGTGCTGCTCATGCCTAGGTTTTGATTCACACTAATTTAATGCAGGAGAATCTCCACCAAGTTGTAATGACAGGACAAGGAGTAATGGGGACAAATTGAAACAGGGGACATTTAGGCCAATTTTAGGATGAAATTCTTTACTGTGGGAGTGGTAAGACATTGACACAGATTGCCCAAGAGGTTGTGGATGCTCCAWCCCTGGCAGTGTTCAAGGCCAGGTTGGACGGGGCTCTGAACAACCTGGGCTAGTGACAAGAGCCCCTACCTGTGGCAGTGTGTTTTGGGAAGGGATGATCCCTTCCAAACCCTTAATATTCCATGATTCCATGAAAATTCATTCACAGACTATACCATCACAGCTTGATCAGACTCCTTCGGTCAAAAGAGGACAAGGTTAGGGAGGTGCTTAAATACACCCAATACACCCAAATGTCTTCTATGTTTGTCACAGCCTAGAGAATACTGCAAGTGGGTGAGGAAGCCATTCTAGCTCCAGCTTTTCTTACCAGCCTTTGATTAATTCGGGGCTAAAGTGAACAATCAATGTGGGAGAGATCAGAGCTGATAAAACTGCAGCATGGATGTGCACATGGGAGCACTGAGGGTGACAGACATCCTTGTACAAACCRTCTCTCTGATACCTCCACACTTTACAACTGAGGGAAAGAAATCCATCCCAATCCATCTTACAWAAAGTACATTTTTTTTTGCAGCACTACAAAAGCCTCCCGTTTCCCCTCATTTCATGCCATACCTGCCAAGATGAATTGCAGCTTCACAGCATCTGGAACAGCCATCCTATCAATGTACTGGGGGTCAAGGTATTTTATTACATCTTCAACTGGAGGGAAAAGCAGGTTTGGAGACAAAGAGCAAGGGAGATGTTATGGTATTCACCAGTGCAACCTCCCCTCCATGCTATGTATCAGATTACTTTGCAAACTGCTTACTTAGAGGCTTTTTGTTTAAAATTATTTTCAGATGCATTAATTTCTATGTGTCTTTGGAGCACTGTGACCAAGAACTGACAAATGGCTCAAGCCAGGAAAACAATGCATTAGAGACAACTGCAAATCTTGCTTTTTGTCTGGATAACAATACCAAAGGTGAGTGAAATCTGCTTCCTCCCACCCTCAGGTCAAAAACAGCCAATTGCCCCCCATCTTGGACCTTGAAATCACCCAAAAATACATGGTTCACACTTTCATACTGAGCCACTGCAGACCTGGAACACCACAACCCTCCCTGCTCCTCTTGTGACAACGCACAGCAAAACCTGGCCAAGAGGCAGCTTAGCAGGACAAAGTACCCACCAGTTTGGAGTCAGCTCCCCACATTTGTCCACTGAGTGTGAACCTTATTGCTCCCACTGCACACACAGGGCATAGCTACTTCAGCATGCCCATGAAGTACAGGAATTAACTGCAGGACCTCAGGGGCTGCGTTTCAGGCAGAGCAAATCCCGACATTGACATAGGCAGATGGACATTGAGAGACTGCAGCGGCCCATTTCCCACCCCGACAGCCGAGCTGGATGACCGCCGGCACAAAGAGCTCTCTCAGTTACTGATTTTTGTGCCAAGCACGCAAAATAAGGGCTCAAAATCACCAGATGTGGGGAAGGCGCTCTTTTGTTTAGAACAGCGAAACGCCACACGAGTGGTTTGATGCTCTCCCCTCCCGCGACTCCTCCCGCAATTCCTCCCGCTCCACGAGACCCGCTCACTTTTCTTAAACAGGATTTTGATCCTCTCCCTCTTGCCGGCGATATTGTTCAGCGCCACCTGCACCTTCACCAGCTCGTCCGCCACCTGCAGAGGCACACAAGGAGGGAACGGAGCTGTCAGGCCCCGGCCGGCCGCCGCACCCCAGGCCCGACCGCGCCCGCCAAACGCCTCCCGCCCGCTCTCCGCAGCACTCTCCCGGCACCTTTCGCGGTCCGCAGCCTCCCACGCCAAGGCCGACGCGCTGCTCCAGCTCCTCCAGCCGCCACTGCAGCCGCCGCAGCTCCACAGCGCCCGCCGCCATCTTGGTTCCGGGCGGAAGCGGCCGCGCCTCACTTCCGGCGCGCGCCGCGGTTGCCATGGCGGCGCGTTGCTAAGGACCGCGGTTGCCATGCAGGCGGGAGGGGAGGCCGCGGATGGCGGYGCCGGGCCCCTCTCAGAGGAGGCGGGACGGTCGATGGCGATTTGCACTGCAGAGGGAGGCGTGCAGCCCTCCCGCCGCCCGCGAGGGCGGTCGATGGCGGTTTCATTCCGGCGTGGTCCTCCAGGAAAGAGGCGCTCGGATGTATTAAAAAGAATTGATATAGCGATCCGTGTGGATGCAGGCCCTTTGAAATCCGGGAGGCTGCCGCGGGCTTTCCCTCAGGCCTCTGTCTGCCCGCGTTCACCTTTCTCTTATCGACTGGAGCAGGTGACGCTCGTGAAGAAGAGAAGCACTAATGAATGGTGCAGCCAACCCCCGCCCGGCTGCTGCCTTCAGCTGGCACTCACAATTACCTGGATCTCTCACAGGGATGAAATGAATTCATAGCAGCAGCATCTGCTACAGAAAAAGTACAGAGAGTTTCACAGCTGCAGAGCAGGAAGTATCCTGAGTTGCATTGAGAAGAGTGTGGCCARCAGGTCAAGGGAGGTCATCCTGCCCCTCTACTCAGCCCTGGTGAGGCCACAGCTGGAGTGCTGTGTCCAGTTCTGGGCTCCTCRGGACAAAAAAGAAGAGGARCTACTGGAGRAGGTCCAGCAGAGACCACASAGACTTGATGTCTGGAGCATTTTTCTTCTGAGRAGACTGCAGGAGCTGGGCCTGTTCAGTCTGGAGAAAAGACTGAGAGGGGATCTCCTTAATGCATATAAATATCTATAAATATGGCCGGTGTCAGAGAGGATGGTGTCARACTCTTTTCCGTRKTTACAGGATGAGAAGCACTGGCCATAAGCTAAAACAAAAGGAAGGATTTCTTTAGGCTGAGGGTAGCAGAGCACTGGAACAGCTGCCCAGGGAGGTCGTGGAGTCTCCTCCATGGAGACATTCAAACCCCACCTGGATGTGTTCCTGTGACACCTGCTCCAGGTGACCCAGCCTTGGCAGGGGKTTGGACTGATCTCCAGAGGTCACTTCCAGCCTTTATGATTCTGTGATTCTCTGAATTTCCCTGTACCCCAAGGCTTAGCCTGCCCCTGCCCCATAATGTCCACATGGCTTCAGCCATTGCAGGATGAACATGAGGCCGAGTATTGCACTGTCACACCCAAAGCACCGGGGAACACCAAGTCAAGGTTCCAGGCCACACTTTTAGATAAAAATCACTTGCTAATAGTAGGGACTTTGCTGACATGGCTGGTGATGTGGGCCAGATGGCTTTGGGGAACTCTCCCACTGCCCTCTGCTGAAAGCTAAACCAACCCACTGTGCCCTGCAAAATCTTTGTCCTTACAGATGTGTTCCTACAGAGCATTGCACAGCCTTACCAGGATGCAGAAGGGAGCTGTGGGGCGGCCCAATGCCCAGCAGCCCCTATGTCCCCACAAACCACCCTGCAGCAGCTGTGCAGAACACTCGGGCAGCAAGATAAGGCTGAGGCTCTGTGCGTGCTGCCTTTCCTTCCCGGGGATCGATAACTGGGATCTTCAGAGGGGAAGAGCTGAGCTTTGTTCCTCAAAGGCGACAAACAGAAATGGCTTCATTAGCAGGAGCGCCTGGGGGCTGCAGAAGGGGCCAGAGGCTGCAGGGGGGGCAGGGGCTGTGCACACAGAGATGGTCTGTGCTTAGAGGATACCAGATCTACCATGGCCTGAGCCCAACAGGGTGGGCAATGCCTCAAATACACAAATGTCTGTATTAGAGGGTCCCAGACCACCCAGAACCCTGATGTGGGAAAGCTGGGCAGAACTGGGACTCACGCACTGGGGGGCTTTTGGACTGTTCTCATCCACCCTGCAGAGTCCCACCCAGCGTGCAAGCCTTGCAATGGAGCTGCAGATACAACTCTGACTGCCCCCAGCCCAGCACAGGGAGATTGTTCCCTGCTCCTTGGGAATGAGAGGAGGCCTTTGACCATGTCCCCATCCCTTGGGCCTGCGGGGGCACAGTGATTTGCCCCTAGCCCAGTGCTGAAGCTGGATCYAGTGCTCCTCCAGCTGGGCTGGATTGTTCCCGCATCCTCTGCCTCCTCACTGCTGCTCAATTACAGTCCCTGCGGGACATGGGGAAGCAGGCATCAATCGCGGCTGGTTACTCAGGTGACAGCAGCTGTGTCCCCAAGCTCCCCAGGGAGCATGGAAACACACATCACCCTCTGAGCCTGGTAATGAGTGGGGATGCGGGCCCGCGCGTGCCCTGCCGGCTCCCTGGGGCTGCGGTGCTCGATGAGCTGTGGCCAGCGCTTCGCAGCAGTGACAAGGGACACGAGACCCCAATTAAGGCTCCATCAATCCCACCCCAGCTCTGCTTGGCACTCCCACAAACACACACACACGCACACACCCCTTGCTCATGAACCTCGCCCAACCCTGGTGGCCAAACTGCAGGGGTGGACCTGCAGGGGGTGGAACTGCAGGGGTGGACCTGCCAGACCACGCGGTCTCTGCAGTGATTCTGTGCCACCCCCAGGTCCTCAGCGTGTCCCCAGCGTGGCAGTCCCCGTGTCCCGCGGGTGGGTCCAGAGCAGGCAGCATTGCTGCAGCACCCTGGACAGCGACAGCACTGCCCGGGTGGGCTCGGGGGTCCGGGCTACCTCAGGGGGCTGGGGGTGTCCCTTTGTCCTAGGAATCCGGCCTTCGGATGTCGACGGGAGTCTGAGCTGTGGCTGTCCCCAAGAGACTGTGTCTGTTCCCGGGGGACTGGGGAGTGTCCTCGAGGGGTGAGGTCGTGTCTGTCCCCAAGGAACTCTGTGTCTCCGGGAGGCTGGGTCTGGCCTCAGCGGGGACTCTCGAATAAGTCTCCGGTCCCTCGGGTATCAGGGACGTGGCATAAACGATGCCGGGGTGGACTTGTCGTCGTGGTTGCCTCGGGTTGCACTTCTGTCACCATGGGAGCCCTCCGTGCTCCTTCATATATAAAGGTGGCTGCACACGTGTGCAAGTCCATCTGTGAGTGTGACAGTGTTCATGCCACTGAACTTGTACAAGGGAGCACAAGTGATCACCCAAGCATGTGTCAGTGCCTCCCAGCTCCACAACGGTCACCTGTGTGTACTGCTCAGGTGCCATGCTGGCCCAGCACTGCTGGCACCTCCCCAGGTGCAACCTCACAGCCCCACAGCCATGGTCTCAGCAGCTCAGGGGCTGTGTTCCTTTCCCAGCACAGGCTGCCTGCCGGGATCCCCACCCATGGGTGAGCTGACACTGGGAACTCGTCGRGCCAAGCATCCCCATAGCCTGGATGGCACAGCTCAAGTTGGTGCCCTGTGTGATCCAGGCAGCCCATGCCTGAGGGCTCTGGTGGGTGCAGGGCACCTCAGAGCTCCCAGAAACTGAGCTGGAGTGAAGCATGAGGCAGGCTGTGAAATCTCAGGCACTACAGCTGTTATCCTAGGATACCACAGGCTGTTGGGATGTCCTGCACCTCCAAACTGGGCCCTGGAGCTTTGTRGGTGGCACCGTGCCCTACACACCACCCTCAACAGCAGTTTGGTTCAGAAGTTTGTTTCCTTTAATAGATACACGGAGTCACGCAGCTGCGGTGGGAGTGCGGGGAACGGGGCGGCGACGCCGAGCCCCCCACGCTGAGGTAGAGGTGAGCGTCGCTCCACGCTCACCTGCTTTGGCACCCTGGGGCACAAGCGGGTGGAGGAGGCACCTGCCCAGCCCCAACGAGGTAGTTCGGAGTGCCCTCTGTCTCCCTGCCACCTGGCTGGGGAGCCTGGCACCCGGGCAGTCTTTGGTGGTGGTGGGGRCCTCTGCTGTGACCCCCACCAACAACCCCCATCCCGACATTAACCCCCAACCCCAGCCCCACCCCAATAAGCTCCACCCCCACCATTCCCACCAATATCCCCATTATTTGCCCCCCCAGGGTGATCCCCCTGAGCTGAGGACCTGGGGGGCTGAGATGCCACCACCCTGGGGGTGTCTCAGGGCAGGGGCAGCAAGCCCAGGCAGCGCAGGAGGGCTGGGTAGGGGCGTCTGCAGTGGGTAGGGGGTGCAGTGTATGTATAGGGGCTGCAGTGTGAAGGGGCCACGGTTCACAGGGGCTGYAGAATATCGTGCCTGCAGTGTTTGCACGGAGGGTGTGTGTGGAGARGTAACGTGAGCACCAAGGGTGCGTGTAGGGGATGCAGTGTGTGCACTGAGGCGTGTACAGGGGCAGCAGCGCGTGCATCGAGGTGGGTTAGGGGCTGCAGGATGTAGGGGATGCAGCATGCAGGTCCTGGGGATCCCCCAGTCAGCAGGGCAGCAGGAGATGTACAGGGGGTCACCTRGGGGTGGTGCCTTGGGAAGGAACGTGTGTGCATGTGTGTGTGTGCGTGTGTGAGGGCACACGTGGGGAAAAGGGACAAAAAGGGCCCACGTGGGTGTTCACAGCCTTGCGTGGACACAGCTCAGTATTGCAGCGAGAGACACCTTTGCGTCCCCATCCCACCCTGGCGGCCCAGTTGGGGGTCACAGCTCAGGTCCCCAGACCCTGTGCACCCCCAGCTGCTTTCAGGGTGGGGGCACATCTGCCTTACGGCGAGGTGCTGGTGGGAGTGTGGCTCTGAGAAGCAGCTGGGAGCAGGGGGTTTGGGGCAGGCATGGGGTTCGGGCGGGTCTGGGTGCTCCCTCCACCAGGTGCCAGGGTGGCTGAGGGCCGACGGGCGAACAGGACACCTGGGGAACAARAACAAGCAGGTGAGGGCAAGCCCAGGGTTGGGGGATCTGCTCACCTGGCCCCCAGCACTCAGGCAGGGGAGCATTGGACCAACACCCATGGGGGCTCCAGCTCCCTCTCATCACCTCTGGTGTTTCCTGCAACCCAGTCATCTTCACCTGCAGGAAGCAGCCTGTGGGGTGGCCCAAGGCCCCTTTGGCTGGCAGCCCCACATGCTGACTAGCCCTGCCCTT